TCTGCACACTCACTGGACCTGGGCTAGGACTGGGTCTGGGGGCTTCCGGAACTCGGCAGCCCTTTGCACTTTCTCTTCTCCACACTTTTTTTCCACACTCAGATCCTTGGATGTTGAAAGGGTCTTCAAGATGCCCCCTTGACTTCTTTCATCCCATACCACACAGTCTTCATGAATCACAGTAGTCTTAACTATTACTTTTATGCTTAGATGGTTCCTAAACCTGGTGTTTATCCCTGACATCAGTTTTGAGTTATAAATATTTCTTCCTTCACCACTCTAATCTGTATCTCAACAGACTATTCAGAGCCAAAATTTCTAAAATTTAACTCAGGATTCCCTGTTCCCCAAGCCTATTTCTTACTCTGTGTTGTCTAATAGCTATTTACCCAGAATCCTAAACTGTAAACTGTGAGTTCTCTTAGAATCACTTCTTGTGGATTCTCCTTCCATTGCCTTTGACACCTGTGTGATTCCCATTCCCATTGCCCTAGTAAGTACCTCAGCATCTCTCACCAAATTATTTGGTGACTTGCTCACAGCGCCCTGACATGCAGTCATGGCCCCTCCTGTTTTATATCAATAGTTCATACAGCACTGTGTGTGTCAAAATCAGTTGCAGTGCTCAGCAGAATGGCAACTTCCAACTCAGCAGATCAGAGACAGGCCAGAGGTTCCACATTTCTGTCCAGTTCAAGTGACAGTGATGATGTAGCTGGGTTTGGGACCCCAGTTGGAGAATTATTGTTCTCTCCACAGTGATTATCTTTCTAAATTACAGAATTTAATGAATTAATTTCCCAACTAAGTCTTCCCAATTTAGTCTTTCTGTTGCCTTCATAAAATATAACCTATTCAGCATGACATTCAAGATGCTACAAAAATGATTACTTTCCAGCCACTTCTTCTCCTGTTAGTCTGTTCCACCCCTACTCTCACCCCCATTTTTCAGTGCCCTCACCTTTAGCCAAAGGAGCTTAAATGTCATTTTTCAAATATGTGCTGTTTCCAGGGTCCTGTGCTAGCTAATAGCTTTCTTTCTACCTATGAATGTCTTGGTTTTTTTTTAATTTTATGTATTTGGTACAGAGTCTCACTACACTATTATAGATCTATTTTATTATAGACCTATAATAAAGATGAACCCTTTATTATATAGGTCTATAATAAAATCATCTCTTGGCAATGACTTTTTTAGTTTATTTTCTATGTAGCACTTAATACAGTGTACCAACTACAGAGGGACACATTAAGTGGCATTTTCACATGGAATAATGACAGTTTTGTAGCACAGAGGATGGATATATTATGTCATGCTCAGTAGCACTGAGAGACTTTTTTGTGAAAAACCCTCTGAAGGTAGGTGGCAACTTTTACTTTATAGTTGCTTTACCAGGTTAAAACAACTTTTACTGTTAATCCTTGAAAGCTCTAATCTTTTGGAGTTTTTCTTTGTTCAGATTTTAGAGGTTTCTAATAATCAGGTAAATTTTTCATGTACCATTTGGGTATTATTATTTTTATTATTAATTTTTTTTTGCAGGGGGGCAGAACCGAGATTGAACTCAGGCCCTTAGGCTTGCCAAGGAAGCACTTATTCTACTGAACCATCACCCCGGCCCCAACCATTTGGATATTAAAAGTGTTTGGTAGGACCAGTGAGATAACTCAGCTGACTAAGCACCTGCTTTGGCAAGCTCTGGAACCAGGGTTCAATCCTCGCTCTTGGGGCTCGCTGAGCCGGCACCTAAGTCCGGGCATGGTGATGCATGACTGTAATCCCAATGCTGGGAAGGCTGAAAATAGGAGATTACTATGAGTCCAGGCCATGTAGTGAGACCCTATACCAAATACATAAAATGAAAAAAAAAAAAAAAAAAAGTGTATGGCTGTTTAAATTTCAGGAGGGTAATGCTATGTATTTGTAGAAAGTACATTAATGTTTTCCTTTTTTTTTCTTCATTAGGGAATTCCGCAATGACTTTCTAGAACTTCTCAGGAGACGCTTTGGTAAACACTTTAACTATTATATAAACGATAACTTCCTAATTATTTAACCTTTTCAGGATTGACAGTGTCATGTTTTCTTCTTAGGCACCAAACGAGTCCATAACAATATTGTCTACAATGAGTACATCAGCCACCGAGAGCACATCCATATGAATGCTACTCAGTGGGAAACCTTGACTGATTTTACTAAATGGCTGGGCAGAGAAGGTAAAAAATTCCAATAGTTGTTATGTGGCTTCATTTGTAGGAGAGAAAGAATTGTCACTTTCATTCTAAATGCATAGAAAAAGAATGTATAGGACAATATAAAAACTGGAGGAGAAGTTGGGCCTGGTGATGTATACTGTAATTGCAGTATTCTGGAAAGCTGAGGCAGGAGGATTCCAAGTTTGAATCCAGCCTGGGCTACTTAGCTATTTAGCAAGAACCTGTCTCAAAATTACAATACAGCTAGGAACCTAAGCTCTGTATGAATACCTTGGGTTCAATTCACAGTACTGCAAGAAAAACTGGAGAAGAATGTACTGTCCCAGGATTGATTTTGCTTATTACAGTTGATTATGGTTATGTGGAATAGCTCTTTTGACAGTTCAAAGATTTATCAGTGGAACATTGTTAGATGGAGAGTTACTAGCAATCTCTTCCATCCTTCCCTCCCATATTTATTTAACTTTATAGGACTTTCCTTACCCCATATTAAGGTCATTTTTTAAAAAAATATTTTCCAGTTTCTAGTCTTGATATGGTGAAAAATAAGAAAGAGAAAGGAGTCAGTGTATTTTTATTTAGTAGTTACTTTGTTCCATTTCAAGTTAACAGCAGCATACTCTTGTTGGATGTGTAGGTATGGGAGAAAAACTATGATGTAAGATAATGCTTTTCTATGTATTTCTCTTGTTTAAATATGTTGCCTCGGGGGCCAGGGAGGTGGCTAAGTAGAATAAGCGCTTGCCTGGCAAGCACCAGGGCCTGAGTTCAAGCCCTAGTTCCGCAAAAATAAATAAATAAATATGTTGCCTCAGTGCATCTATGTAAAAATCTTTTTTTTTTTTTTTTTTTGGCAGAACCAGGGGTTAAACTCAGGTCCTTGCACTTGCAAGGCAAGCACTTATTCTACTGAGCCATCTCCCCAACCCTTATGTAAAAATCCTAATGACAGTTTTTTCTGCTTAAAGAGATAAAAACATTATATTTGTATCTGAATTTCATTAAATGTAAATATGAAAATTTCACATGCTTTGTGAGTTTGTGTATTTGATGTATTTGAATGAATGAGAAAACATGCAAAGTTGGAACATGTTTATATTTCCATTTACTCGGATGGTACACTGATGGATAGTGCCTGTTGTTTTCTTCAGGCCTGTGCAAAGTGGATGAGACCCCCAAAGGCTGGTATATTCAATACATAGACAGGGACCCAGAGACCATTCGCCGGCAGCTGGAGCTAGAGAAGAAGAAGAAGCAGGACCTTGATGATGAAGAAAAAACTGCCAAATTTATTGAAGAACAAGTGCGAAGAGGTCTGGAAGGGAAGGAGCAGGTGAGCAGCAATATCATTCAGAAGGTTAATATCAAAAGGCCTACAGAAGTAAAATTGCTTGTTGAATTGGAATTTTAGCTATTGTTCCTTAGCTGGGGGAGGAGGATGGTGTGGTGTAAAAGTGTAGGCTTTGAGGTTAAGGCAAACTTTAATTCCTGACTTACTGACTTCACACACTTGCATATTTACAGAACCTCTCTGAACCTCTGTGTCCTCAGCTTTAAAGTAGATGGCACTTACTGGGAAGGCATATAAGTAGGTCATTTCGACTGACTGCAGTTACTGTAATGCTAGGGTGAACACTGTTCCATCCCAGAGAGGACAAAGTATGTTTGAAGGTAGGTAAGCCCTGAGCTGAGGGATTTGAAGATAAATGTGTGACAGCCTGGGAAATGGACAAGGGAGGAAATGGTAAAGGAGTTCAGGTGTTAGAATAACTAGATCAAGGAAGTTATTCCTAGTTACGTGTGACTCCTGTGTACCAGGACCCCTCCAGGTTTGGGTATACATAGTACACAAAAGATGCAAAAGCCCTGCCTTCACAGGGCTTTCAGTCTGTTAGTTGTGAGCAGGAAAATACAGCCAGTTGTGTAAGTACATTATTAGTTATTTAGTGTTTAAAAGCTGTATTGAGCTCTAATGAAGTTACAATAAAGTGTAAGACATTTATTAATCTTACATGTGTAGTTTACTGAACTTCCGCATGTATGGGGGCAAGCAAGCAGGCGTGTGAAGGGAGAGCCTGTGTAGTCACACCAAGATAGCTATAGAGCATTTCAAGTATCCCAGAAGTTTGCTTCATGCCTAGTCCCACTAAATAACCCATCCCCTAAAGTTAAGAACTTTCTGATATGTCACTTTTGGTTATTGGTTAGTTTAGTCCATTCTTAAACCTCATATAAATCAGATCCTACTCTTATGTTCTCCTTTGTGTCTGTCTTTTAAAACTCAAACGTAATGTTGTACAGTTCATCTGTTCCTTTCCTATGTTTCATTCTTTTTTATTTATTTAAACATATATAAAGGCATAAAAGTTGTATATAATACTTGGTATCATGAAATGTTTTAATGCATGTATACAATTGTGTAATGGGGTAAATGTTTATCTTAAACATTTCTCATTATTTTTTAAATTGATGTATGGTAATCCATTGTATGATTCTAGCATAATCCATCTCTATCTCTCTCTCTCTCTCTCTCTCTTTTTTTTTTTTTTTTTTTTTTTTTTTTTTTTTGTGGTACTGGGGATTGAACTCAGGACCTTGCACTTGCCAGGCAAGCACCTATTCTGAGCTATCTCCCCGGCCCCACATACTCCATCTTTCCGTTCTGGTCATTATAGTTCAGGTCTTGTTGAAACCATTGAACATAGAGTGATGTAGGAAGTAGGCATCAGTAGGACTTAAGATTGGTAAGGATCAACTTAACAATTACCTTTTATATCATTTTAATTGAGCTGCTGCTGGGTTTTTGGGTTTTTTGTTTTTTTTTTTTTTTTTTTTTGTCTTTTTGAGACAGGGTCTCATTGTGCAGTTCAGGCTATCCATGAAGTCACTGTGTAGCCCAGGATTTTGTCAAATTTGAAGCAATCCTTTTGCCTCAACCTCCCAAGTGCTGGGATTATAGGTGTGCACCACCATGCTCACCTTAGTTGAGCTTTTCGATAAGTGAGAATGTGCATTGTAGGATTAGTTACATTAATATACACATATGCCCATAATCCTTAGGAGTTTTCAACACTAAACTAAAACAAGAATCATTCAAAAACTATTGAATTATAAAATCTAAACACCTTATGGTCAAGACACTTCTTGAATTTCTCTTACCTTTTTAACATGTACACTTCTGTTTTTAGTGGATCAGAGACAATTTAATTTCGTATTGTGGAAATTAAGAAGGTATATCTTCTTTTTTTTTTTTTTTTTTTTTTTTTGAGGATATAAGCAGAATATATTTTTTGAGGGGAAAAAAGCTCCTGTCTGAGAGAGGGACAGGAGGGGGGCCCAAGTGGGTTTTCCCTGGGAAGCTGTCTCTTCCAGGGACTTTTATAGTGTAAAACCAGTGGGGCTAAGGTGGAGAGAATGGGAACTCCCTTAGGTTGATGTGGGGTGGGACAAAACTATGGTCACCCAATGGGATTACAAGCAGCATTGCTCAGGTAAAATTGATTAAGTCCAGGACACCAAATGAGGAAGCGAGTCACATAGCAAGAGCGCATGAATGTAAAACAGGACTTTATCAGGTAGCCATAAGATGATGATTCTTCTTGGCTTTCTCAGGGTGAAGATCAATCCAGGATGCTAACGTTTAGGGAGGTTAGCATTTGTTTGCTTTTTTTTTTATTTTTTGCATTTGTTTGTTCTTTGATCTTTTTTTTCCCTCTCTTTTATTTTTATTTATTTTTTTTCTAATTTTCTTTTTTTCAAATCAAATTGGTAGGATAGTTTCAGTAATTAACACATTGCATACTACATTCTTCCTAGTGGTTAATTGCTGTACAAGATGTGGACATGATATCCTATTTACAAACACCATTAGAACAAATCACTCTATTCATTAAGAGAATGTAACTATATATCTATCCTAAC